ATTTCAGATATATTATCCATCGCCGTCCATACTAATCTCATGATACCTTTATTGCTGTCTTATCTCTTTTGCTTATGAGGGGCTTCACAACATTTTAGAAACGTGGGGTTGACGGGATGACGTAGCTTGCCTTAGCTCCAGATGATGGATGTCTGCAGCAACCTTTTGTAAAGAGTTGCGATGAAATCTTGATTACCAGCTCGTTAGTTTCTCGTGTTATGATATTAGGTTAAGGGAAGTTTTTAGGAGAGAAAGTCTCCAAGCTAGCTCCCAATAGTGCCTCTTTGAAGGAGAGCAAAACGCTCAGTAGCTCAAGATGAATGATCAGATAACACAACTACATGCGGTTTCCCAAGTAGGTCTCAGTATCAGTGGTAGTCTATTGTGTCGAATTTTAGTATCTGTGGAACGTGTTCCAGCCTTTACTTCGGCTGACTTACACGCCAGGCTTAGGTATGATCAACGAGATCTTTTGCATTACCTGTTCAGGATAAAGCCGCTCGGCATGATTAAGACAATGGAGATAACGACCACAGTATATCTGGATCTATATAGGCCAGTAAAAGCAATACGTGTCCAACTTGATCGATGCGTTCAGTGTGATTTATCCATATCAAATGCACCCTTGAGTCCTTTATAACCGTGAACCAATGGGGTTTGACCATTGCAACTATAATAACCCGACCCCTGGCTGTTCGACCATAGATACCTAGTTTAAAGGGTCCTCCCCCGCGCCTGTTGTGCACATCACAAAGGCGTCTTCCGCCGAGAGCTAACAGGGGGCTTCGGACCAATATTGTTCATAGCTGGTGAACCTAGGGCCAACATGAAGTCCAGATCCATTTCACAGGACACATAGCACACAATGACTTTGAGGCTTAGTATTGTTGTAGGAAAAGAACAAATAATCAACGGAGGATAATGTGAGCTTTGACCTCTACATATTGCCACATGCATATGGGGTCGTGGCCGGAGTGTTGCATGTGTCAAGCTATCAAGGTACAAAGATTCGCCTGTGGTACTGGGCCTGGGTGAAGTACCTGCCTACTATTTTCCTCCCCACATCCATCCATTCTTGTCGTACCTGGCCTTATCCTCCTCCCTTGCATGGATGCCCGGGCTGGCGAGAGAGGTTTAACTCCTGACACGAAACATTTGTTTGCTTGATTCTGCTCTGTCTTTGTTCGCAACATCCACGCTTACTGCCACAGCTGAACTTTTGCGCATTATCATACGATTACTCTGATCCTCCAGACGGAATGAGCTAGTTTTGCGCCCCACGATAACCCGAACCAAAACCCGCTTCTTGTTGGTTTAGAGTAGTATTTATTGGTGTCTTCCCATCCATGGCTGAATCTTCGACAATGCCTCGACCGCTATCGCAATTGTCATTCCTTGCAAAGCTTCTCGTCTTTGTCTGCCTGCTTCTATCGACGGTCGCCGAGTCCATGACACTTTCAGATGAAACCCTCGAGAACATTCCTTCGCCCGGCGACGACTTCGATATCAAGGATGGCAAGCTTCTTGCTCCTATCCTGATTCCTCGTGTGCCTGGCACCGAGGGTCAACGGCGCGCCCAGAAACACTTTGTCGAGTTCTTTGGGGATAATCTTCCCGAATGGAAACTCGAAATGCAGAATTCGACTTCAAAGACACCTGTACACGGAAACAAGCAGATCCCATTCTCCAACCTCATCTTTCGAAGAGACCCCCCTTGGGCACAGAACGGAGACGTTAGTCGACTTACGCTGGTCGCGCATTACGATAGTAAATATGAGCCTGAAGGATTCATTGGCGCAATCGACAGCGCAGCGCCATGCGCCATGTTGATGCATGTCGCGAGGAGCATTGAGGATGCGCTCACTGCAAAATGGGCCAAGATGCAGAAGGACGGGTCTGCGGATGATGGGCTTGAGGAGACCCAGGGAATCCAGATTATCTTCCTAGATGGCGAAGAGGCATTCAAGCATTGGACGGAGGAGGACTCGCTTTATGGAGCCAGGTATGTTAAATATACAATCAACTGCGAGCCAAATGATCGACTAACTTGGTGTCAAGATCACTTGCTGAGGAATGGGAATATCAGTTCCATGGATCTACTTCAACTTACAGGACTCCTCTGGACTCTATCAGTCTGTTTGTCCTCCTCGACCTTTTAGGATCTGCTGATCCTACTATTCCCTCTTACTTCCTTACAACCCACTGGGCATACCGAGCCATGGCAGGTCTTGAGAAGCGCATGCGACAACTCAATGTCCTCGAGACCAAGCCCAGATTTCCTTTCCTCCCAGATGGCAACAAAACAGCCAATCGATTCACTCGCAGCTATATCGACGATGACCACCGACCTTTCATGCAGCGCGGCGTTGACATCTTGCATATCATTCCATCGCCCTTCCCTGATGTGTGGCACGAAATCACAGATGATGGTGAGCACCTCGATCTTCCCACAGTGCGTGACTGGGCGAGGATCACCACTGCGTTCGTGGTGGACTGGATGGGTATCCAGGATTTCATGCCCAAGTTGGCGGGAACTAAAGCAAAGAGGAATGGTGCGGCTGCAACAACTACGTCGAGCCGGAGGACGGAGCTTTAGACGACATGAACGTACATATCTGCATCATTTAGAGAAATGTCGGTTGGTTTCTTTGGGCTTGGCGTTGTAGGCGCGATGTCATGAAAAGAGTCATGTAATGAGCAGTCTGTTTTGCAAACATGGAGTAAAGGAATCTTTGGTTGACTAGCAAACACCTGAATCTGCTACTCTTCTTGCTAATTGAAGTCTTCGTCACCTTTTTGGCCGTATCAAAAGAACCCTGAAAACGCTCATGTTTCCCGTGGGTACCTTGTAAGACGGACCGAGAAGGAGAGGCATTTATTACGGATTTGCACCAACATCAGACTAGCAATAACTCCCGAAGTAGACGCCAAATTTTCCTGATTGGCTGACTCTATCTTGGACCCTAACGGCGCCTGTGAAAGGAGGGCGTCTCCAAGTTTAAGCCCCGGACAGTTTTTATGGAGTCTGGAGAGATAATCGTGGTTCGTGATACGTTACGGCCAACTTCCAGCGGGTTATTAGCAGTTTTGTGTTTGGTTTTGCGCGACATAAGAGTAAGGTAAGGTAAGGGCATCGATCATGTTGTAGTTCAATCTGACGTCGGTTTTTCTGGCGCCCTCTTGACTCATTTATAAGTCTGCTAGCAGTGGAGGTCTTCTATTTAAGTAATAGCTGCTCCCTGCTTCTTCCACAGGCGCTGTTCTCCAGTAGCTGTTGTAAACCACATTCATCTTACACCTCACCATGTCAGCCATATATTCTGAGGCCCAAGTCGCTGGGTTCCTCAAACATCTTCAAATCCCTCAAGAATTCTACGTGGGTAATGAACCTATCCTGGACCATGCGTTTCTCAAAGTGCTGCATCAGCACATGATCGCAATAGTCCCATATGATAACTTGACCCTGCATTACTCGTCACATCGCAACATCACTCTCGAGCCTCAAGCTCTCTACCAAAAGATCGTGGGGGATGGGCGCGGAAGAGGAGGTTACTGCATGGAGAGTAACCTCTTTTTCTGCTACATGCTGAGAGCTCTTGGTTTCCAAGTATATCCCGTTGGCGTGCGAGTTCGTCTGCGAAACAACGGCATTCCTTTTGGTGGTTACCCTGGGTGGGTTCACATTGTCAACATTGTAACTCTACCTGACAATTCTCGTTGGGTTATGGATGCTTCATTTGGCGGCGACGGCCCAACACAGCCCATGCCTTTGGTCGAGGGCGCTGAGTGGCACAATATGGGCACACAAACCGCACGTCTTATCAAGGATTTCATCCCTGGCCAGACAGAACTCACATCCGGCCGCCGTCTCTGGATCTACCAGTGCCGCAACTCTCCCGACCTGCCCTGGACCAGCTTCTATGCTTTCAGTCACTCAGTTGAATGGCTGCCAGCCGATTTCGAGATCACCAACTGCTATACGGGCACAAGCCCACGCAGCTTCCAGACATCGACGGTTCTGATTGTCAAGTTCCTTCTAAGAGAGAGCAAAACGTCACCAACGGGCGAGGAGATCTACGGGAAACGAATGCTGATTAATGATGTGGTTAAGGAGAACCCTGGAGGTAAGACAAGGGTTCTGAAAGAGTTGAAGACGGAGGACGAGAGAGTGGGGGCGTTGAAGGAGTATTTTGATATTGATTTGACGACGGAAGAGAGGGAGGCTATCAAGGGCTTCCAGACTGAGATTAAGAGCGAGTAGGGGATGATATACCCCAGTCATTTATTTAGATGGTTATGATAGAAATGGTTCTTTTCAACTTTCAAGAGATGATATAAGATTGAATCTGGAAAAGAAAACAGTCAATTATTTTCGTTCGGTTATGGTCATTAGCACCCTCATTGATCAATGCTAATGCCTCCATGTAATCCTCTTTCTGCAGGGTCATATTTCCTGGGGATCATAAATTGGACCAGGAGTTTCTTGCCAGAATGGACGATGGATCTCAATATAATTGTGACTCATCCTTTCCTTTGGTCTTACGAGAGTACGGTCTTATTATATGGTGAGTGTCTTAACGCATGTGCTGTACTTCAGGCCCTCTATTCGAAATGAAGAAGATAATTATGTAAATACAACACAACTTAGTATGCCATTAGTCCATTTGATCCTAACACTAATTTTCAATATCATAAGCTTCATTACCTCCTAAGGATATTGAACTACTAGGATTAGGCATAAAAGCAGAGGTTCACAGAAGTGATTTCTGATCACCATGCAACGTATTTGTTCCTTTAAGTGATGGATATTGCCCGGACCTACCCTAAAGCCAGAAGCTCTGTTCGGGTACCCACCAAAGTTAGAGCTTTGACCAATCAAAGTCATCTCCTGCCACCACGTAATGCAAGCTACAGTGCACCATACATCTTTAGCTGTCCTGTCTCATCCACTTGGCCTCAACTCCAGAACCGACTAACCGACCTGCGATAACGTTAAAATCATGCGCTTCTCAATCGCATCGTCCCTACTTTTCTTAACGAGCGTGGCTAGCGCTGCCTCGTCTTGGAGTTTCACCGATGGCTCCGTCACTGTTGGCTCCAAGAGAGCCCAGGGCGTTACTGCAAAGTAAGCTAGCTGTCCCTCTCGAGATGCCATGATGATGCTTTCATGGGCGACTGAGTGTGAGAGAGCTTCTGCTGACTGGCCTGATTGATATAGGTTTAGCGACCAGAAACCTGCCAAGAAGTCTCTTGTGCTAGGCAAGACAGATACCATCAAGGTCTCGTTGACCACAACCGAAGCTGGCGAGCCCAAGCGACCTCACCAGGCATTCCTCATCCTTACCGAGTCAACTGGCCTCGAGGCCCCGTTCCCTCTCAAGATGAAGGCCTCTGGAAAGGGCGAAGCTGAGATTGTACGCGACCGATCAACTCGAATCAATTCCACGACTAACAATAATCGCAGTCACAAAAGGACCTCCCTATCCAACTGCTCCTCTCCGACGAACCCATCAAAGCCAACCTTGTCCTGGGATCTTTCGGTTCATCTAACCCTCTTATTTCCCCCGTCTTCGATATCGAAGTCCAAATCGACTCCAATGCTCCTACACCTCAGTATGAGGCTCCTGTTCGATATGGTCCCCGAGCCGAGATCGACCATATCTTCAAGGTTGGCGACTCGAGTCCTCCCGTGGTTGTCACTCTCGTCTTTGTGCTCGCTATCGTTGCTAGCGTTCCTGCTCTCTTCCTCGGCGTACGTGTAAATCCTGCCCTTACACATTCACAGACTAACAAGTATGTAGTGGCTCTTCCTTGGTGCCAACGTCAACCATTTGCCCAAGGCCCTCAAAGCTGCACCTATCTCTCACGCCGTCTTCTTTGGCTCCATTGTCGGCATCGAGGGCACGCTGTTCCTCTACTACGCCCAGTGGAACCTCTTCAAGACCTTGCCTATCGTCATTGTCCTTGGCGTAGTGTCGCTTCTGAGTGGAACCAAGGCCCTGAGCGAGGTCCAGAGCCGACGTCTCGCTGGAGAGAGGTAATCTGGTTGCAATTTTCAAGTAATTGCTTGGCACGATAGAAGGGCTCAAGCTCAAAACTAATCATCGCAAGTCGATGTTGGTGGAAATACAGGGGAAGATAGATCTCACACTAAAAGAACAGCCAGTGCCCGAATGCGGGTATCAACATGTTTACAATGGATGTTCCATGATGGGAATTTCTTTAGCATCAAAAGTCTATCAATCGAGAGGTTTTAGGATGGGTAACTTTGCCCAAGAGTTGAACGATGTCAAGTTCTAGGCATGCAAAACGGATGTACATTATGATAGACACTGGAAATGGAGTCGGATTTGGTGACTTTTCAACAACTGCCACTCACCACTCTTATTCCTCCTTCGGCTTGGTCCACATACTCAGCTGTTCCTCCAAGACACTGTTGAACCATTGTGTCTTCTCTATGATGGGTGCGTGTCCCATATCGTCCACAATGTGCACAGAGCCTGGTTTCAGCACTTTAATGAGCCGTTCGCCATTTGGAAAGCTGATCATGTTGTCACGCTTTCCATGCATAATCATGATGCGCTCAGAGCCGACACTGTCTGCTATTTCCCGTAGCTGGTCATCCGTCTTGTTGTGCAAAGCTGCCGCCGCAAGTTGACACATGAGCATTTTGGTGGTGTACAGCTCGGGATTTGTCTTCTTGGTGAGTTCCTGAGCCTGGAAACGCTGAAAGTTGGTCTCGAAGAGGCCGTAGGTTGGACCACCCTCTGGCGGTGGTGGACTGCATCGTGCGGTGACGCCTGGCTCAGGTAGTATATCATCATCCGGTGCGACGAGCCACTCAGGTGTGAAGAGCCGGAGAGCGGTGTCGACAATACTGCGCTCCATGGACTTGGGGATGATCATACCCATGGTGTCTGAGACAGTTTCCCACAATCCCTTTGTGTTTTGGACTTTGCCTGATGTGCAGATGAGGGAAAGCGACTGCAGACGCTTGGGAATACGAATAGCAACTTCTTGTGCAATCATGCCACCCATGGAGATACCAACGAGGTTGATATCCCGCTCAGCCTTCCAGCCAACGTGGTCGATGACCTCGATGGCATCGAGTGCCATGCCGCTGGTAGAATAGACACCCACGGGCTTGTCGCTGCCGCCCATACCGCGATTGTCGATAATGAGAACCGAGTACTTATCGGCTCGATCATGACCGAAGTACTTTGTTTGACGCTGCCATGATGTCTTGACTCCTGCCAATCCCATAATAAGCTACGGAGTACACACGGTCAGTCAAGCTCCCATGTCAGAATGTGACCATTAAGGGAATTTTAACGGAAGAAACGTACCACAAGCTTGACGGGTCCCTGACCATGAATCTCCCACGCAATGCCGACTGGACCACCGCGACCCTCAGCGACAGAGACCTTGCCGTGAGAGTGAGGTTCTAGGGCCCAGAGCGTGCCTGGGTAGGCTGGGTGCTTGAGCGTCTCCTCAGCCGAGGGAAACGTGCTTTGCCTGCGAGGACATATCGCGTGTAAGAGAGAGTTGAATCCACACATGAGGAGCGAATGAAAAGAAGTAATGTTGGTCGAGGACTTACAGGTCAGACGCCATAATCGATATTTGGCGTTTGTTTGCTCTTATAATAAACCTGGCCCGGGCTCCTTCTTGCGCAAAAGCTCGGGACCTTTAAGCCTAACTGATAAAAAGATTTAGGTAACTTAGTATAAATTTAGGATGAGTTTAGGATACCTTTTGTGGGGTTTATTCTGTCACCTTAAACTTCGGTCTCGTGTGTTCTTGCTCGGTAAGGGGTAGGTAGGTAGTATCTCAAGTTGCAGTTGTCAAAAAGATCCCGTACGTCACTCACGGACTACCTACGTGAATAGGTAGGTAGGAGAGTGTAGTGAGTACGGAAGAAAGATACAGATTTGAGCGAATGAAGAGTAAATGACTATAGAAAAAAGCAAAAAGTTGTCCCCGTTGTAGGAGACTACCTTAGGCTGTGAATTGTGGAGAGGTAGAAGTAGGTAGTATTCGGAATATCTTGTCACAACTCAACTCGCAACTTGCTAGGGTGAGAGAGAGAGCGAGTGAGTGATTGAAGGCGACATGGATGGATGGATCGCTGCATCTCTCGGCGCTATAATAGTATATACCTTGCCTCCAATTGCTTGATCGCCATGGGCCTAGACACGCCACGTGCAGAATCCGATCGTCTCTAGTTACATTCCAGTCTCGGTATACCTGAGGGCGAAGTCGCAACCCTCCCGAATTACCTGATGGTCGCAGAGTCAATCTATCCATAATAAGCCACCATTCAGCTATCGCCAATTGACTAGACAACTCCAACAGGCAATAAATCTCAGACAGCTAATTCATTATTGGGTACTCCGTACAGGCCAAAATCAAGACCTGTACTCTTTTTAAGCCATTTCTTAATATCTTTTTTATTGTTTTTTGCTTAGCTCCTTGCCAGATCGAACTCCTCTCGGGTGTCTGGTCGTTCATTCATTCATTGTCCACTTAGACTTGCGTAGTAAATCTACCACTCTCCCACGTCCACCTCAGGGCATCACAAGCCCGATACCACTCAGGTTTTCCTCGTCAAGCTGGTTCTTACGATCGACACCACCAGCGATTGGATTAACACGATAGTTGAACAGGTAATAATGAAGTTGACCATCACCGGCTCCGAATTTCTGCTGCTCCAGGAACAGCGCATTGTCCATCAGCGTCAATGCGTTGAACACATCGAACTTGTGGCGCTTGGAGATAATAAGGGCATCGTGAACAAGCTCGTTAAGGCGCTTCTTGAGAGCAGCTTTGTCGAACTTGTCCTGTAGCGCGACGTCTGTACCGTAGTAAAACATGTAAGCAACCTTGATAACGTTGTGCTTAGCGTTTCCAATAGCAGTCGACTCGATGCAGAAGAAAGAGAAGAAGTCCGTGATCTTCTTGTTTTCGTCCTTTGTAATTTATTAGTGCATATCCTCTGAACTTTGTTCTTACGATGACCTACCTCGACAACGTATGTCCACACAACCTGCTGGTCGTTGGGTCCAACCTTCGGGACAAACCAGTGGTGAGCTTCCTCGCGACTGAACTCAGGTGTCATATCGAAGCGCGCATTATATCGCTTATACAAATCCATAACAGCATCAAGGTCCTTCTCTTCCAACGGTCGCAGGCCCTTGGTGCTAGTATTGTCTGGTAGCGCATACTTGCGAACCTGATACTGAGGTTTGCTGTTTGCCGGAAGAGGGCTGAAGCCGCACTCATAGAGCTTTTGCCAATTAATAGCGCGATGGAAGTATCTGCATGTGCTGACGGGCTTGGGAAGGACGACACCAGCAGTGTAAAGTCCTTGCCAGATCTCGTTGAGGTTGCTGCGCCTGGTAATCTCCTTAATGAGTACTGGTGTAAGACGCTTGCCTCGGAGCTTCTTGTGGATGGCAAGGAAGTTGACCTCAGAGCAGGTGATAACGTTCTCTCGGACACGGAGGTGAACGGGGATGGCCGAGATAAAAGCTACGAGAAGACGGGACTGGGTTGCGCGGACACCAACATGGTATTCCTTCTTCCAGCCAGGAGGCATCATGGCCCTGCGCAAGTCAGCGGAAATAGATTCTTGGAAAAGCTAAGTCGTGTATTAGCCTAGCAATTTGGCAACTTACCATCGAAGAACAGAGGGGGAATAGTTGAAGCGGAACATAGCCTCATCGTCCTCGACGTAGTGCTTGTTCAACAGCTCGTAAACTTCCTTGATCTTCTCATCATTGGTCAAATCCATCGTAACCCATTCAAAGCCAGGAATTAGAGGGGCGGGCTCCTTGTCGACCTCCTCGACCTTCTGGATCCGTAAGGGGCCCTCCTTCAAAGTCGCATCCTCTCCAAACTTGGGTACAGGTTGCGTCTGCCAGAACTTATACGATCCCATATCTTTGGCGTTCTTTCCGCCAGCGGCAAGACCAGTCATGATATCTTGTAGTGACATTTTCTTGAGCATGTCGGCAGCCTGAGAGCCGGAAGGATCATCGCTCTTGGAGGCCTTATTCACCTCTTGGGAGAGGGCTGGGTTGAGGGCGAGGAACTCCTTGATCTGCTGCGGAGTGAGGCCATCGAGGGCCTTGTGGAAATCGGAATCGGTCGGCGCGGATTTTGAGCCGGTCAGGGCCTCCTTGACCTTCGCTCGCTTCGACTTCTTCTTATTTTTCTTCTTCTTGTCGCCGGATCCTTCAGCAGCGTGTTGCTCCTCATGCTCCTCCTCGGATCCAGATTCGGCGGCATCGTTGTCGTCGGCTTCAGCTTCGGCGTCGGCGTGAGCGATGGCCTTGCCCTTGAGCTCGGCGTTCGTCTCGTCGACGACGGGCTCAACTGGCTTGGACTCCTCGGACATGATTCGAGATAGACTTTTGATGTAGGTGTTGTCGATGCTAACTAGGTAGGTAGGTAATGTTACGTGGGGTGGGGGGTTAAATCGAAAGAAGCTCTTTGGTGGGGTAATTTCACTGTAGCATGTGTCTGCCCTCCACTGCTAACGCCAGGTGGGGTCAACCGGCTTTAGTAGGTAAGTACTACTTAGTCTACTCCATAGTCTACCTATATATTACAAGAACAACCACAGGAGGTGCCTTAAGTTGCAAAACTAATAATCGCCCCGTGATGCCGTGGTTGGCTACTCTCGTATTAAAACTAATTTAAACGAATGAAACGAGTGAACGAGGTATGGGCTAATAAGTCAGACGTTGCGTCATCCAAACAGACCAACCGTATCTGATACTGGATACTGCTGACTGGCTGGCCAGGGCAATAGGGGTCCTATTGTTTATAGTAGTTTACTGATGGAATAGCTAAAGAGCTGAATAACTTTTCAGATGTTTGAAAGAAAGGGAAGGATTGGAATGCGGAGAACTGGGGTCTCGACACCGCACGCATCTAAGAATTCAGAAATGGTCCAGAGAACTATCCGACAACGAGCACAAGCCCCGATATTCACTGCGGTTTGATACTTAACTGAATGATGCAATGAGAGATGCCTCGATTTGTTTTTCACTGGCAGCAATAAAGGACGTTCTTTGCCTTAAATATGAGTCTGCCAGGCTGAGGGACACCTTTCAAGTTCGGTGATACAAAGATTTTGTGATCACTACAACTCGCGCAGGCATGCTAAATGGCAGGCTAGGGAAGGAAAGAAAACTCGGGACCTTGACCCTTAGTGGTAAAAAGACTTGGGTAACTTGGCATAAGTTTAGGATACCTTTAGGACACCTTTGAGTAGTTTATTTTAACACCCTATATCAAGGTCTGATGTTTTCTTGCTAGGAATAATAGCTGCGTATGCAAGGGATTATTTCTGTCAGCTCTCCCCACCAGGGTATAGTTGAAGCTGAAGCGAAGGCGGCAGGTCTGATGAGTAGTGAGTTCAATGAGTATCTGACTGGGAGTTGTCTCAAGTAATGAGGAATAGCGAAAGTCTGAATTAGCAAAACAAGGATGCCCGCCGAGTGGAAGTGGAGGTCAGTGACGAGAAGCCCTGCGGTGGCTACTTATAATATTAAATCATTACGAGATTTCAGTGACGGAAAGTATCGCCTATAAGACTATTTATTGAAAGGCCTTACTGTACCATATGTCTTCCATGGTGATCTATACTCTAGGACCGGCACAAACATGCGCAGCCTTGGAAAAGAGTAGTATGTAGTACTAGGATCACATGCCTAGAAATATGAAAACTTCGAAGTCAGGATCTTGAAGTAGCAAAGCAAATTCCACGTCGTTTGTCGAACTGTGCAGAGTAATCACTAAGAAATCATGTATGGGTTGGCATTGCAACCTGATGGGGCAATTACGAAGATGCTACTTATTAGATGTCGAACAACTATCCTGATGGATGTGTCCTGCCAGTCTATTCATCACTGTAAGTCGTTCCGTGAAGATCAAATGCTCTCATGACAGCCAGCGCAACAGGCGCATAGCCCATGATATCGTTGTGACCTGAGTTACTTATCAGCATACAATCTCAACAGGATTGAGCAGACATTCACTTACCACCATATGGGAAAAGCTCTTGGCGGATAATCATGTTGGGTTCAGCAGTCCAAGTGGTCACAAATGCATCCTTGCCCTTGCGGATGGTGCGCTCTTCTTTCCAACTCTCGAAGTCCTTGTCATCCATAATCCCAAGAGTCTCCTGGGCAGCGGCTCTGAACAACTTATTGTCTTCCGTCCAAGGGATGTCTTTATCATTCTTTGCATGAATCAAATTAAGCCTGAGCCTCGTCTTCGTATGGCGGACTACGTTGGCGAGCCTTCTGTCTGAATGCCATTTATCGACAACGAAGCGATGGATGAAACGCACGAGAGAAGGCCACATGCGGAAGGGAGCAAGTACAGGGAAGATACCCACGATTCGATAACCCAATAGGAGATTTGCAAGATCGCTGAAGCCAGCGACTATGGTAATGCCTGCAAATTCGACGCCCTGAAGGGCATACCTTTCAGCAACGGCACTGACCACAGCAGTACCTAAGCTCTGCCCGAGCAGGACTATGCGACTTGGTGGAATCTCTGCCACGTTGGTAGCCCAGTCAACGAGTGTTGCGGCATCTTGAATTACTCCAGTCTCTGACGGTGTGCCCGTAGAATGACCAAATCCTCGGTAGTCGATGGCGATAACATGATATGAGGAAGTATCAGTCAAGGAATGATAACTGAGAGGCCGAATAGCTTGCGCGATGTGACCAGCGTTCTGTCGGGTCAGTTGACATCAGTTGCAACATGGCGGTCACCACTTACACCGTGAACTGAGATACGAGTAAGTATCAATAGGATGAGAGCTCCAGATTCAACTTACAATATAACACCAAGCGAGATTCTGGATCCTCCTTCAGTAGACGAAATGACTCGGTCTTGGTGAAGTCTGCCGAGAAACCCGGCTCTTGGGACTCTATCTTGGCTTCATTCTGTAGATATAGAGGGAGTGGTAGGATATGCCAAGCGTAAATTGATTCGCCGTCAGGCGTTTTCAGTGAGAACGGAGTTACTTGGTTCCCTATACGAGCATTATATGAGTATTATGAATACAAAATCTCAGAGAGTTTGGACATACGAGCGAAACCCCACCGTTCTGGTTGGTTGACATTACTCCATAATAATGTATTGAATTTGTGCGCATATAGAAACCTGATTAGAGAGTCAAAACCGATTAACTTCAGAATAAGAAACGACCCAAACATACTGTCTCTGGAAGAAGGGTGTCATTCCCAGTCCCAAGAAAACGCAATAGAGGCCCAGTGGTGCTGCGACTGCTATAACCACAGCCTTGACGGCGGGATGAAGATAAGACATGATTCTCCGTTGGTAGATCAAAGAACAAATCAGAGTAAAAAAGATCTATGAAAGATTCTGAAAATGAAACGCTACCTTGGCCGAGGCGAATAATATGCTCACCTGCTACGGAGTGATTCAAGGCAGAACCCATGAAGGCCTGAGGTCGAACCACACAGGACGTTGCTTTGCCCGCGCTAGCCTCTAGGTAAGCACCAGTCAGTGATCATCAACGGGACTTCTCTCGCGGGGAAGACTATCTCCTACGCCTGCATTTAATGTACCTGAGGCGCGTCTGATGCGGCTGTGGCCCCACCTAATCTTCTGGGAAGAAAGAGCCGCGAAATGACCACACCTCACCTTACCTCAGTGGAGACTAGGTACCTAATTAGTTGTGACTGCTAAGTTGGTTCAAGGAGTAGATGAAGAAGCTTGTGCTCTGTCGTCGGCCGATAGGATAGGTACCTTCGACAGGAGTAATTTCCCCAGCCGTCTGCCTTTATCGATAGAACCTAGATAGGTCTCTCACGGCGCTTCCAAATAGGCCCGGGCCTGTAAGGTCCCTGCTGAGCCCCAGCTTCCTTTTTACCTAGGCGCTGGAGTGCTAAATCTGTCCAATCAGAACACTGGATTCACACTCCATGCTCCATATGAAGGTGGCCGTGTTGGACCTGCACCACTGAGCCTCGGATTGCTGTCCGTAGTAGGTGGCTGTTGCTACTGAATGCAGTAAACTACCACTGTCTCTTTTCCAATGGGAGCCTCCATTCCCATCTTCCATCTCCCACCTCCATATTCTCTCAATATTCCCTCGTGACCCAACCTCACCTTCGCTTCTTCGACTTCTTATTGCTCGCGAAAACGATCGATTATTCAGCTTTACACGTTCATTTTGCTGCAAGACGCGCCTTGCATGGCCCTCATATAATGATTGGCTCCAGTCTCGCAGTGTAATCCTTTTGCGCTCTCTGTAGTTTGCCTACTGTGCAAGCTAGTTAGTTCATGGAGCGAAAGCGCAAACTGCCCGCGCGGGCTGCCGCGCGAGGCGAAAATGCTGCCAAAAAGCGCAATGTTACACCTCGAGAGCGATCTGCGACGCCTGCTGCTCCCCCGCCAGCTCCAGAGCCAGAACCAGCTCCGGAACCTGAAGAACCTCCCCCGCCTCCATTGCCCAAATCGATTCAAGCTGGCAAACCTCTCCCAACGGTAGAAGTCGCGCAGCCAGAAGAACTGTCGTCAAAGGAGTATCAGTCGGTTGGTGAAAGGTATGACATGGCGAACTGACCCACGAGATAGAGGTACTGACTGACGCGTCCCTCAAGTGGTGTACTTGCCGAATCACTCTTCCGATCCCGTCACAAATGGATCAGCGAAGGCTTGTTTGCAAAGTATTGGACGAAACCCCATAAGCGCAAAGGTGTTCTCAATGAAGACCCTAAAAACCCGCCCAAGGATACCATGTCAAAGGTGGGCACCGTAACGATTACGATTGAGCCTCATATAATCGAAGCCACGATGTACGTGGTGAAGGACCCGAAACCGAAGACTCAGCCCGTACCACAGCAGCAACCACAGCACCGTCCGATTCTCCAGTATGGTCCTCCAAATGGTTCAATGCCTCCGCCAGTGGCGCCTCCAGCATCTACAGCTGGCACACCGGCACAGAATAGGGTGCCGGCAGCGAAATCTATACCACAAAGTCCATCACAGGGCCCAGCTCAAAGTCCGGCTCAGTCATCTCAAGGCCAGATTGCTACTTCAACGACAGCCGCGGTGAACACTGCGACACCATCCCCGAGTCCAAGCTTACAGCCAAGACCACAAGTTGGAGGGCCTGTAGCACCATCTCCAACACCATCAATCTCACAAGCGTCTCCCAACATTTCCGCCCCAGTGGCACATATGTCAGCTTCAGGGCCGACCGTAGCACCAGCAGCATCCACTAGGCCGATAACAGCTCCTCTAATGTCTCCATCCCCCCGACCGCCTCCAAATGCTCATCCGCCTGCGAGTGGCCTCGCCAAACCTGCTCCAGCTCCAATTCCTGGCTCAGCTCCAGGTGTCCCTGCTTCAGGTGCCGCCCCTGCTGCGAAACCGTCGGCTAACGATCCTGTGATTGCTTTATTGGCACAGAAGGCTTCGGGAGATGCCGAGCTGCGGGACCTCATGAAGAGAGTGGCCGTGGGGCAAGCAAAAGAGGGTGAATTAGCTCACTTTCAGAAGATCATAGATCAACTTAATGCCGAATATCGAAGTAGAGGGGGGCAGCAAGGGCCATCGGCAGATCGTCTTCTTGTCGATGGCCGTACAGTGCAATATTTTGCTACGGAAGTCAGGACTATTCTTGATATTGTCTTGGCCTCTAACCCCAACCAGAAGTCTTCCGAGCTGCGGCCACCACAAGGCAGTGATCCGCTTGTCGTTCTATTGGTCAAGACTGCCCTAGAGGACCAGAGGACACGGGATATGATTCGAAGGATTGCGGAAAACCGACCCGGCTTTACTGATGCTACAGATCTCAAGGAGATCTTAGATCGGCTGCATCGCGATATGAAGACCGCACCGAGAGCTTCTCCTGCTCCTGTACAAATCCGCCAGCAAACCCCGAACAGCATACCGAATGGGCAACAAAAGGCACTCCATAATGGACCTCCACCTAACCCACAAGCTCTCAGATCAAAGGGGCCACCACCTGTGCCCAAACCAGACATTGCTGCTGTTGTTTTTGACTTTGGAAGCGGTGACCGATATCTGTTTCCCAAATTCAGTATTTTGGAATATCTACCAACTGCGACTGGCCAACAAGTTGTGGCCTCATTTCTAATTGTTCGCAAGGGAAGCACATCTGAATATGGAGGCGACCCAAAGCTAGACTACTACCAACCCGTCACGATACGCCTCTTCACACCATCTGGTCGCCATCTAGAGAATCTCGCACGAGTGGTCGCTCCCCAAGATGAGGTCAGGCGCTATATGGACGATGTCATGGATCATATGACCCGCGCCGAATATGTTCTCCTGGCAATGAGGCTCCCAAAAGCCAGTTCGGACGGAGAGAAAGACGGCGCGGCCTCGGAGGAACCCAGGACAAACGGCTCGACACCAAAGCCTGACTCGGCGATAGAGCCGAAGCCCGCCGCGAAGGTTGGCGTTCTTTGGACGTCCAAAGGCAATTCTGAAACTCCACCAGTAGAAGGACGGCTGTCAAAGCCAGCTCGATATGCTGAGCAGGAGGCTGAAGCTAAGTACCAGCGCTTGATTAGTCAAGTGTCTGCAAAGGACAACGAGGCCTGAGCATGTATTGAGTTCTGAAAGCCTCTTTCACTACGAGTTGCACAAACTGTTTCATAATTTGTTGTGCTTACAATGGAGTTTGGCATTCTTTTTTTTTTTTTTTTTTGGCGAAGTTAGGAGTGTTGGCAGGAATATTATTCGTGGGATGGATAGGCGCTACTTGCATATAAGTTACCTAGATTATCTTGAACCAAAGAGGAGAAAGATGTGTCGGCGGAATCTCAACCTCTTGAAACTGCCCGGCGAATTATCATCATTGGGGATTTGTACTTGTTCACTGGTTTGATTCCATACCGCTCATAATCTCTACGGGGCAATCACTGGGTTTCTGTGTATTATCCATGGTGTGTGGATGACCCTCTGGGCTCCATGATAGAGACGTTGAAGTTACTACCGGAAGCGTATTTGAGATTCTAGCATATTCTTTCAACTGGATAGGACGAGGGGAAAGGATTCAAGGCTTGAAGTTAATATAGTTGAAGTGTAGCTTTCTGTGGTGACATGTGGCAATTTGGTTGAGGACATGTGGTACCTTTTCCGGGGAGTCGTTCCATTCATATTGGTTCGAGGACGGAGGAGTAGGTACTCCATACTCTCCGCCAGCTCAAATGTTAATTTACGATCGGTAAGTAGTAACGAAACACGCGAGCCTGCGGAGAGGCATCACCATGAACTGTGATTTTATGACATGAAGATTGTGGTGAATGTAAGTGCCACGAGTTTGAAGTTAAGGTTACCAAACGAGTATGTTGCCTCCCCTGAACCTTGTACCCTCTTTTCATTATCTCGATGATGATGATATTCAAGCACGTCCCTTGGAATGCAACATCAAAAACACACAATTGACTTATGGGTGACGCTGAACTTAGATGTTGATAGTTCCGAGACCAAAAAGGTGCATCCATAGGCATGCTTCTAACCTGATGCCCCATTCATGCGTATCAAACAGATAGATTGGACCTTACCGTAGTCATAGGTTTATCGGTAGAAAGAAAAACGATACTTATTATCGTGATTCCACAGCTAAGCAAAACTACCTACCTACGCATACAATCAACAACGATGCAGTGTCCTTTATTATTTGTCAAGCTATGTTTAGAAGAGCTGGGATAGTAGAGGTCATGGTTGCAACTTGATGAAATCACACAATGAGGAGAAACCGTACGATGTCGCACCCCTCCTCGATCGATATGCTTCGGCGTCCTCGGCCATATGTGTATGAGCGACAGGAGGCGTCCCTCACTTGTCTCCAGACAAGTCTCAAGTCTCAAGTTAAGCCCAGCCATGTGAATAGCTACCTATGATGGCTACGATACCATCGAAAGAGGGGGGGCAGGAAGTTTATTCAAGGTAGATCACGAGGAATATCTGGTTCCTCTGTAAGTATAAGTAGGATGCTTGTTCCCCTATTCTCGTCACTTGTTCTTTCTTCTAAGCTTGAAACTTGAGTTCCGTTGTGACCCTCTGACTCATCTTTAGTTTACCTTGGCCGCCTACTATTTGTCAGGGTGAGTTGGCAATCATGAAATTGACCAACACCATCCTCGTTGCCCTCCAGGCATCGATGGGCTTGGCCTTCGTCGTCCCCAATGATGATATCAAGAAGGCCATGACACAACACAAGCATGATGATGCCGACCTCGATGAGAACAAGTTTCATGGCTATGAACAGATCACCAAGATCACTTCACACCGATACTTTGGACCTAAGGACCACAAGCATCATCATGAAGAGAAGAAGCATGACGGCGAGGACGAGGACGAGGACGAGGACGACGACACCGACGATGATGACGATGACAAGAAAGAGCATGTTCACCACCCTCAAAAAGTAAAGGAGAAGCACAATAAAAGCAAGAAACATGATGATGACGAGGGCAATGATGATGGTCACAAGAAGCATCACTCCCATAACTCGAAGAAGAAGCAACATGTCGAAGAAGATGATGACAAGGAGGAGGATAAGGAACCCAAGCTCATCTTCCACACAGACGAGTACAAGAAGGCCAAGAAGGAGGCCGAGGACAAATTCCCATGGCTCAAAGATGATGCGTCAGAGACTCCCAAATCCAATCACAGGCACAAATTCATAAAGGATGCCAGGAAGAAATACAATTCCGCCCAACATGTTCAGTTGGAGACCCCTAAGCACTACAGCAAGGACAAAGATGAAGACAATCAGCTTAAGGAAGCCAAGCAGAAACTCCCTTCCTTCATCAAGAATGTTGTGCTGGAGACCCCCAAGCGCTACAACGAGCTCAAGAATAAAGAGAACCAGGTCAAGGAAGGCAAGAAAAAGGAGACCAACTTGAAGGATGGCAAAATGTACAAGAAGATTCATCGAGGTGGAATGGTCGTCAAGCGCGATATTGACATCAACATTCATGCTCCAACCTTCGAGATTTATCATGATTCTGACAAGAAGCATGAGCATGGCGACGCGGAACTTGTCAAAATCTTTCACGTGAGCTCGCAGGAGTCGACTCATGGGACCAAGGATCCCGAGTATAAGCATGATGATGAGCAGAAACACAAGGAGTCAACAAAGGAGCACCATTCACTTCCCAAGTCTCACCATAAGCATACCGGGTCTAAGAACTATGATAGTCACGACAAGGATCACTTTGGAGGTGCAAAGAAGTATCCCCAGTCAAGCAAAGATCACAATCAGACTCAAGGGCACCACCCCACGCCTGTTGTAGAAGTGACCAAGAAGCTGGTCGAACTGCTCGCCCCGATCATAAAGCCGAAAACTGGCCGTCCTGACTCTTCCAAAGAGCCATCCCAACAGTATAAATCTTATCCTTCTCATGCTTACTCTGATAAGGGCTGCCCTAGCCCTCATGACAATCGCTACCCCAACTACAAGAAACCCTATTCGCCAAAGGACACTCACTATGATGATGAGTCTAAGAATGGACACAAGAAGTCTGATCAAGCAGAGGATAAGCGAATTGATGAAAAGAAGAAGAATAATGCACTGCGAGTTATCATTGAATCCCTCGCCGAGCTTCTTGCCAAGAAGGCAATAGCCCATAAACACAGCCCCAAGAAAACTCACCCATCCCAAGATGATCATGACAGACACTATGAGTCCAAGAAAAAGCACCATCCTCATCAAAGGCCTTCCTATCGATACAAAGAGCATGCCGAGTACAAGCATGATGACAGCAAGAAACATGTCAAGCTGAGCCAAGACAGTTCCTCTCACTATGAGCCTGGCTATAAGCATGAGGAGTTGGACTCACATCACAATGGAAAGAAGAACGACTATGATCATGACCATGACCATGAGGACTCCAAGAAGGGTCGGTACTCGCACAACAAGCCTATTTCTCGGTACAAGAAGAAAATCGACTACAAGCATGATGATGAGGAGAAGCATATCAAAGTGAGCAAGGATCACGTCTCACAGCACGAGCCAACCCATCATGATGAGAAGCCGGATCATCATCATTATCATCATGGAAAGGATCATGAGCGCCCTAAGAGGCCCGGGCCTCATCATGACCATCAAGAGGCCGAGCACCATGGGCACTCTGAGAAATCAAAGGACTATTACCCATACAACAAACCAAAACACCAATACAAGGAGCATTCTAAGTACAAGCACGACGATGATAACGGCCGTGGTCCGTTTGATCAAAGAGTGAATCTGGATCGTAAACCCATCGATCACTACACAAAGTCTAGACATCACAAGGACCACGAAGATGAAACGAAGGCATACAAAGATCACCTGTCTCATCTTGAGACTCACACCAAAAGATCAAGTAACATTGTACCTAAGCTCAACACCACTCAAATCCTCAACCTGGAAGCGCTTTCGCCGCAGGACCGAAAGAGAATCGCAATGGGCCTGCCTCTTGATCGGCAGACCAGAAAGGAGTTCGGCGAGTTCAAGGATTGCAGCCCCAAACTGATTGCCAAGCTCAATGTCATGTATGCCCGTATCCTCGATGATCCCAAATATGCACCTTTCATCAAGTACCTCAACACAGAACGCGAGTTTCGCAACAGAAAGAGATGCAGTTTCAAGCTCACTAGAGAGATGATCGCAAGTATCGAGGCTTTGGACCCCGAGACTCGTGCCCTGGCTGCAGACGAACTCAATTTTGACCCGCAACTTCAGCAAGAGTTTGTGAATTCCAGAAAGCTCTCCCCCGGCCTTATCAAGAAGCTTGAGAAGTGGGCTACGAAACATGGGAGGGATCCTAAAAACAAGGCGATTCTTGAGAAGCTTATGTCTCAAAATAAGAAGCGAGCAATCTCAAAATCTGTGCTTACTCCAGAGATGCTCGCAAAGATCGAGGCTATGGACCCTATGCTTCGTGCCGTGGCTGCAGATAGACTCGATTTTGACCCGAAGCTTAAGAAAGAGTTTGTGAATGCCAAAAAGCTCTACCCCGGCCTTATCAAGAAGCTTGAGAAGGAGTATGAGCGTATTGCGAAGAACCCTAAATACAAGAAGATCCTCGAGAAGCTCCAGGCCTGTAGGAAGCGAGCAATCTCAAAATCTGTGCTTACTCCAGAGGTGCTCGCAAAGATCGAGGCTATGGACCCTATGCTTCGTGCCGTGGCTGCAGATAGACTCGATTTTGACCCGAAACTTAAGAAAGAGTTTATAAATGCTAAAAAGCTCTACCCCAGCCTTATCAAGAAGCTTGAGAAGGAGTATGAGCGTATTGCAGGGAACCCCAAATATAAGAAGATCCTCGAGAAGCTCCAGGCCCGTAGGAAGCGAGCAGCCCCAACCCCACCCATTCCCAAGATCCCAAATGAGATGCTGAAGAGAATCGAAGCCATGGATCCAATCCTACGCCGCGTGTTCGCAGAGAGATTCGATCTTCCCGCGAAACTCACAGATGAGTTTGTAGATTGCGGAAAGCTCGACCAACAGATGATCCACAAACTCAACTGGGAGTATGCCCGCATTCATAAGGATCCCACATTCAAGAAGATCCTTCAAGATTTCAACATCAATTTCAAGCGATCTGAGGGTCAGGACGAGAAGACCGAGGACGAGCTCAAGCCCCTGACAGAAGATGAGAAGAAGGAGGAGGCCAAGCTCAAGAAGCAGGAGTTGAAGGAAACGGAGGCCAGTCAGCCGAAAAGGCTCACTGCAACCGAGCTGGAGTACATCGGGCATCTGCCTAAAGTCCTGCGCGCCAAAATAGCCAAGAAGATGGATATGCCTAAGGATTTACGAAAATGGTTCACCAAGAAGCAAAGCTATACAGGTGAAAATCTGGAGCGACTGAACGAGGTGTGGCTCCGAATTCAACAAGACCCTGAATATGCAGACGTTGTCAAGCAGGTCCAGTCTTTGTATTACACGAAAGACGGTCCAATAGAAGCCAAATACTTCAAGAATCTAAGGGAGAAAGTCGAGGAGGCAGCCAAAGCCAAAGACAGGGCGAGAGCCGAGACGCCGAGGGAAGACAAGATACAGACACGATCTGTACACCAGCTTACCGAGAAGGAGCTGGAACGTTTGCTCAAGTTGGATAAATACGAGCGCCAGGCCCTGGCGAGAAAGGTTGGGCTAGAACAGTCACTCGCCCGTGAGTTCATCAACGCATCTAAACCGAGCACTGGATTCCTCGAGAAACTCAACGAGGCTGTCTCCAAGAGTGTCGGTACTCCTCAATACCGAGAACTTCTCAAGCTTGTCGGTAAGGAACTCCCCAAACCCAAAGAGGAAAAGCTAAAGCTGGAATCCATCAAGAAGGACGTGCGCCTGGAAATCGCCAAGAGCTTAGAGTTCGACGACTTCACCAGGGATGAGTTTTTGGAGGCTAAGGCGCTGGAGGGCAGACTCTTGGACAAGGTCGCGAAGTTTTGGGGGGTCAAGAGGATGAAGAACGCAGAGCAGGGAAAGGATGACATCAAGCACCCTGAGGTTATAAGCAAACTTCTCGAGTCCGCCCTGGACAAGACAGGCCAACAAGGTAGTGGTGTCCAGAGTAAGAGCACAGATGGGAAGAAGCTCACCGAGGCTGAGCAGAAAATGAAGGACAAGGTCGAAAAGACAAAAGCGAACGGCTGGTGCGATGAGTTCGTTAGCGAGCTTGGGGACTCTTTCGGCCCTGAGGAGAAGAAGGGGAAGAAAGACGGAAACTGAGAGTGGTGTGAAGGGGTACCTCCAGTGGGGATTGTTCGGTTGGTTTTGTTCGCGGAGTCTGTTTACTGGACCCAAGTCAGTCTTTAGACACCTGCCTATTTAATGAACATATTTGTTTCGAGGCCTGATTTCGTTGCATTGGCATCTTGGTTTCTGGGAATAGCTTCAAATTCCATGATAATAGCTAAACTGAGTACTCCGTATAAAAGCCCTGAAACTCCAGGCCGACGATGCCGCCGATTCACGTGTCAATCGAGTCAATCATTGGAACCAAGCCGCCGTCATTCATTACCTAAATGCTTGGCACACTGGATTGGATCTAATTGGACGAGAATAAGGATGAGGATGAGCGACAGAGCAGGGGAAGCAACGAATCATTACGTAGATAAGTGTGTATACGTACCTTCCGTGTCAGCAATCACCCACCTTAGGTACTAACCTTGTCTCACCTCACCTCACTCAGTGTCCGGCGGAATGTCATGAAGTCGTCTACCTTAACATTGGATACCTAAGTACCTTAGCTTAGACACTCTCAACTTCACATTTTTCATATTGTCATCTTCGTCTTCATCTTCATTCATTTTTAGTATCAGAGTGATGCAAACGCAGTGGCCTTTGCAAAATGGGCCAGAATCTTTCGGATGAGCATCCGCAGCGGCGGTCGCATGAAGAGCTAACTCAGCAACTTGTGAGCTCCTCCTGTCCATCTATCATACGTTACCAGAGCCAATTCTGAAATACCGCTAACACGAGCTCATAGACGGAAAAGTTTATGAAGAAATGTTTCACCTCTCTTGAACTATACTCACTCAGAGATGTTTTCAAGAGCCTTGCCGACCAGCAGGACTCCATCAAATATCTGAAAGAGGACACTATCGCCCGGTACCTGGAAATACCAGACATTCTCGGCACCTCGCCAGTCATTTTCCAAATGGTATCCTATATCGGTGCTTTTCCATTTCTTCAAGACGCGCCTGCAGTCCTGGAGTTTCAGCGGATGATTATGGTGGTTGTCATCATGACTGAGCGCTACAAAACCGTATTGGCGCGGGGCTCTTCAGATAGGACCAAACTACTGTTCAAGAGCTTGGCTGTCTATGATCGTAAGATGTCAGAAGCAGGAGCCCATCCAAACACGTCACACATCGAGTCCAAAGACGATCAAATGAAGGCCATGTCCGGTGTGGCTGGTTTTGCGGTTGATGCAGCTGGGGACGAAGATGAGGACGGTGAGGACGACGACCTCGTATTGACAGCTTTTGAATTGCTCGATATCAAGGATGCCGTGGACCAGGGCCATGCACCAGTCTTTCATGGCGCTACCATCCCAACTGACAATTTCCGAAAACTTGTCATGCTGCTTCTCCTTGCCGCCCCGCTTGATCCTCAAGAAAGCCTCTCAATGTATTCAAGCCGTGTTGTTGGACAAGAACTCGAGGGCCTCCGTGGCGCCGCTGAAAGCATTCTTGCCTCCTTTGTTAATGCCGAGACCTCAACTGGAATTAAGTACAACCACTTCAGAACCATCATACCTGTGATTTGCCCTCATATTTTTCGTGGATTCAATGGTCTTTTTGAGCGCTTTCTTTTCTCGCAAAATCTAGATTTCTCCAAACATCAAAATGATACCCCAGCTACTACTTCATCTCAAAAAGTAGCACAGCCTCTATTGACCGACATGGGCGAGATACTTAACCAGAACACTTTGTCCCAGATCTCGCTCTTCCTTCCTGGGACAGATCTCTTCTGGCGAGTGAGGCTCCTGTACTCGGGTAATGATGCTGGTTTCTCTATGGGAAGTTTCCAGACCAAAGTTTTCAACTGGCAAGCTCCAACACTGCTCCTGGTGAGCGGAACACGGCTGGGAGATGAGCCGGAGGGTGGTCAAGAAAGCAGTTTCGCGGCATCCTTACCTCCGAAGCGGTTCCCTCATGGTAGCAGATCGGATCGGCTCACTTTTGGTGTCTACGTTCGTGAACCTTGGAAACACACCCACCGGGAATGCTTCGGCGATTCAGAAACAACACTATTTCAACTTGAACCAATTCATGATGTCTTCCGGGCATCGACTATCAACAAAGACTACGTTACTTTCACAAAAGCACCAGCGCACCATCCCATGATGTCGTTCGGTTGCCCTCATCCACACCCATCTCAAGCTCACAGAGGGGCCGACATGTTACGCCTAGGCCCTGTATCATTATTACTTGACGACTCGTTCGAGTTTGCAGTCTTCAACCACGATTTTACCTCTCGAGGAGGTGCATTTCACTCGAGTGTGGTGAGAAAGTATGATTTCCAGGACCGATTCCAGATCGAGAGTCTCGAAGTTTGGGGTTGTGGTGGTGATAAAGAAGCCCAAGCCCAAGCCGAGAAATGGGCTTGGGAGGAACGAGAGGCTGAAGCTCGCCGCAAGATTAATCTTGGAAATGGAGATATCGAGGCTGACCGGGCGTTGCTTGAGATGGCGGGGTTAATTGGAGGAAACCGAAGTGGAGGATCTATGACATGAAGCAACCCCAAAGAAATTGAGTATTATCAGACAACATATGTTCTTAAAGCCTGGATAGCACATCGGTTAAGCAACTGTTTGTCTTGAAACTTCACAATCTTCAAGCTCAATAAATATTGACAATCATCAACATGTGGCTTAGTAGCTTGGGAGTAGAGCTACGCTGTACTCGAAGGTACCGCCCGTTATCTATCGTACACAACGTTTTTCTGCCATAAATTAACATGCGAAACTTTTATACAAACCTCCATCATGGCCAATTGCTCCTAATGTACATTCTTGATTCTCAGTCCTTCCTCTTTGAGATAATTTCGCCAAGATCGCCCAGAGAACTCTTGGGATTCTTCTTCTTCTTTGAGCTGGCCTCATCCTCGACAGCTTCTGCGGCGGCTTTGTTGTCATCCTTCTTCTCTCCCTTGCTGCCCTGTGGCCACAAGCCAATGCGGCTCAGAATACCTCCATTACTGGAAGTCTCGGTGCCTTCGGGTTGCGGTTCTGCCGTTGCCTTGGTCTCCTCGGCCCGCTGGGCCTGGACCTGTTGTCTCTTCTTCTCGAGTCTCGCACGCATGGCCTTTTCCTCCTCGTCTCGGGCCTCGAGCTCACGAATCCACTTTTGTCGCTTCTCTTCAGCATCCTTCTGCTCCTGGAGCTGGCGGAGCTCCTTGCTCTTCTCGCGGTCCTTCTGGTAATACATGCTGCCGGCAAGCATGGCGAATACGGTGAAACCTTGGGCTGCAACTCGGGCTCGGAACATGCGGTTCGCCTGTTTTGAATCACCACGACGGAGGGCTCGGTAGGCATTGATAAAGGCGAGAGTGGTCAGACCCATTCCTATAGCTATTAGAGGCTGTCCCGTGCGGCAAAGAGTTCCGAGATGTTTTTTTTCTTTACCTAGGGGGATCAACGGCTCCTCCTTGATCTTGCGAAGGACCTTTTGCATTGGTCTTTCATTCTGAAGTTCCCTGGACTATCGCATGAGCGGGGAGTGCACGGTATAGCAAGCTGGAATTGAAGCATACTGGTCGCCGTCAAAGGACGAGGGCATAGGGCCCGGGAGGGAGGGGGGTGCATCAGCCATTGTGTTTGTTTGTTATAAAGCCCAATTGCTGCCGCAGAATGGAAGTCGATTTGAATTCGTGAGGAAGTGGGCTGAGAATTTACAGAGGGACCTTACCCTTAGCTAGTACTGTACCCATGATCGCATCCATTGGATGGGTCCATATCTGCACTACGTGCAAGCATCATCACTTTTGTCGCTGACGGGTGGGTGGGCTCAAGGACACAAGACAGGTACGTACCTTGCCCAACCGCCAACCCCCCCAACTCCCAAGCGGCCATCCAATCGATCGGCCTATCCGTGTTCGGCCTAGCCGCTGCTCCACTGAAACTTCACAGCTCTGATCGCATTAATGAGCTTATTGAGATGCAATGTATCCGTAGCTTTGTCATCATCGAAAACAGTGAACAGATTTGTTATTCATTCCAACATTGCCTTGCGAATCTACAGTACCCGATACTGAACAGAAACGACGGCTGACGCGAATCCGATCCGATCTATCCATTGACGGTCACCGTTGATCGACTCTATAACCTTTCAACTTCCCCTGACACGCCTAGATTCAGCATCATGCAATATCCATGATATAGCCCACGATGTGGTTGCCGACGCCTTCCGTCGAGAGTATCACCCGGCCGCGACTGGCTGTGGCCGTGGTTTCTGCTGTGGCCGCGCTCTCGGCCGGATACTACGCATATCAGGTCCGGTCGCAAAGTTTCGAGTCTCTGCCCGGTGGTGGCCTACACAGAAGCAACGCAGTACGACGTCAACGCCGGAATCGGAGAAACGAGGATGGCTCAAGTTCCTCATCCGAGGCTCCGGGTGACGAGAACGCCAATATTGATCCAGTTCAGCCCCTTGGCGATGGGGAGACCATAGTTGATGGCGGGGACGAGTGGTGGAACGATCCCAGCGGGTTTCCTTCTAATCAACGGACTGGCCACAACATCGTCACCCTTCTCTTTCGCGTTTCGGAGGATAATGCACGCAGAAATGGGTGCGTTCACAGAGGCTGCCAATGTAATTCATGTGGCATGGTTCCCATCCGCGGTGTACGTTACCGCTGCGCAAACTGTGCCGACTTTGATCTTTGCGAAACTTGCGAAGCCCAGGGGGTTCACATCAAGACTCATATCTTCTACAAAATCCGAATACCAGCACCGCCGTTCGGCCCGCGACAAATGCAGCAAGTTTGGTACACTGGGGACCCGGACACTTGCAGGCGGACTCTGCCCCGCAGTTTGATACCGAAGCTGTCACAAGATACAGGATTCGAACGGCCAGAGTTAGAGGCTTTCTGGGAACAATGGACTTTTATGGCCAACTCGGAATGGAGAGATGACCCTGATGAGCTGTGTGTCGCAATGGATCGGAAGACATTCGAGCGGTGTCTTGTTCCTACAGGAGGCTCCCGTCATGCAGCACCAAATCTGATACACGATCGAATGTTCTCTTTTTACGACTCCAACAATGATGACTTGATTGGCTTCACAGAATTTCTCCATGGATTATCATACCGAAAGCGAAAGGATAAACTCCGAAAGATATTCTCTGGCTACGATCTGGATAGCGATGGATATGTTGATCGCAAAGACTTTTTGCGCATGTTCCGTGCGTATTATGTTCTATACAAGCAGATGCACAAAGATATTTTAGACGGCCTGCAGGATCAGCTACTCGCCAGCAGCGAAGCTCAACAGCTCGTTACCAGCCGTCAACCACTGAGCAGTCTATTTGGACGTGAGGGTCGAGTTCCTCCCGGTGAAGGACAGTTTCGGCACGAGGGCAAGACATATCAACGAGATGGTAGTGTGGATATTTCCGATGGGCACGAACACGTTGTTGCGCCAGATCGCGGGGACACAGCAGCTCGTGGCGATATTCTAACAAACCTGTTTGCTTGTGAAACCGACCATCGATTTCGGTCCAGGAGGCAGTTCATCACCAGAAACGACACAGATAGCAACTGGAGAACAGTTCGCCGTTTGAGTGGGAGTGAGACCGATCGTACTTATTGGGTTACGCTATTGGAACCGGCATCCACCTTGGAGGAGCTTCCAGGCCTCATAATGGAGACTTTGAATCCTGAGATTGAGGAGCCTACAGATGATGAGGATGAGGATGTTGAAGGTGACAGGCCTGCAGATGGCATGAACGGAACCCATGAAGAAGACGATACAGGAGGCCCGTCACGAACGGAAAGTGAGATCAGAGCCGAGACCATTGCCAAGGATCGCAGCAGAGCTCCTAAACTGGACAAACGCAAAAGAGACATGGCACGGAATCAACTACATGAGCGGTGGAAGAGGCGGCAGTTTTATCTCGATGAGGAAGAGGGAGGCCTTGCCCCTGATGACTGGGCAGGCAGTGAAGATATTCTAATGGATCTTCGCCAGATGGATGAAGCCTCTAGTGACGATGAAGAAAACGACTCGGCAACGACACCGACTAGTTCAAAGGTCAGATTCGCCAACGGAAATCTCACCGATGACGAGGATCATGATAAAACGACGTCACCTAGCAGTGCTTCTGAGCACGTGCCGCGATGGAGAATACCGCACGCTGAGCGAGATGCTGGCAAGGAGATTCTTTACCAGGTCACTCAGCAAGCATTTAATGAGTTGCTTGATACCATTTTTAAGCCAGCCGAGGACCTCGCTGTGCAAGCAGCTGAAACCAAAGAACAACGGGCAAAGTACAAGGACGTACTAGACACCATCGAGCTTGGCGATGATGATAAGTCTAAGCCTACGAGTCGGGGTGATTCCAAGGTTAGATCCGCCACTGACAAGACTCTTGAGGAGCTCTTGTCCGAAACTGGATATACTATTGCTTTGCCAGAGGGACGAAATGCCATCGAAATCGATACTACGGTTGAAATTATCCACGAGGATGGAACGGCAGAGCCCGTTTCAGGGTCAGAAACTGAGGCAACTATGCCAGTATCCGAAGACGAAGAACAAGATCCCACTCTCCCACAATTCCGACCCAACTCACTTGGAGATGCACCTACCTCTCCGGCTTACGTATTCTACCCCATTACGCAGCCTTTACCAGACACGTCCGAGGACGACGTACCCAGAGAAGAGGATGACATCGATAGCCCTCCCACATCAGACATGCTGCGGCACTGGAAACGCCTAAGTCTTGCTGAGGCCCAGGCGATCAAAAGAGGGGGATGGGGTAAACTAAGCTTTGACGAGTTTGAGGCCATCTATAAGAGCCAGGAGCACCAGGGCAACAGACTCGATTATCTCGGAAGCTGGATAGACTTTTGTATTCCCTAAACACGGAGTGGAAACCGCTTTCGAACACCTCCTGGTATGGCTCCATAGTGGATGTGTGCTTGGGTTGGTGTTTATCCTTTTACATTCGGGTAGTTCCGGGAGTTTCTGCATCGCGACTGAAAGCTTTCATGTAAAATAGCGAAAAAAAGGAATCGGCACATATCTAGCCTAGGACAGCGTGCATATGATGGCAGGTAGGCAAGATATTAGTTAGCTACCGCAATGCCTGACGTTGCATGACTGCTCGTTTGCAGCAGATACAACATCATTTACAAATTTACACAGCGAAATCTCACACACACACAACAGATAAAGTATGATGATTAGCAATCGAGTTCGTATTAAATCAACGCTGAAGTACTACTCGGATATGTTTGCTCAACTCGAGGCCCCTGTTCCACACGCACAAACACCCCCACCCCCCATGACCAGCATGCGCCCATCGATCAATCATCTCTCACAGCCTCTTCTCAAACCTGCTGCTGAGTAGAATCAACACCGTCGAAGCCAAGTAGGGCGTTCCATGTATCAGCGGTGCTTTGATCCCGTGTTCCCAAAGCCTCAATCTGAGCCTGAGCATCCTCACAAGCAGCCACAGCATCGGCACTAGCGTCACACACGTTGGTGAGCTGGTCACAGATACGGTTGGTAATGATGTTGGGGTTGAGAGCCTCCTGCTGGCCTTCAGCAATGAGAGGATCCTGGGGAATGAAGGTGAACTCGTCAGCTGGGCGACCGTTGAGGCCACCAACGCGAGCCATTGTAGGCTGGCAGACACCGAAGTCGAGAGCACCAGCGTTGCCTCCAGCGTTGCCTCCAGCGTTGCCGCCGTTACCGGCACCATTTCCAGCATTGTTGTCATCTGCAGCATCATCCTGACCGTCCTGAGCATTGTCGTTGTTGCCATTGTTTCCGCCCTGGTTGTTCTGGTTTCCATTTCCGTTGTTGTTGTTGTTTCCGTTATTACCGTTGTTGGCATTGCCATTGTTGTTGTTACCATTGTTTCCGTTATTGTTGCTGTCATCCTCTTCGCAATCCTCATCGTCATTTGCGTTGTTTCCATCCTGGGCGTTATCCGAGCCATTGTTGCCCTGCTGGCCATCAGCGGGAGCAGTGCCGTTGTTGGCAGCTCCTCCATTACCAGCACCAGCACCGGCATCCGCGCCGGCATCAGCACCGTTGTCAGCACCAGCATCGGTGCCATCATCCTGGCCGTCGTCTTGACCAGCACCACCAGCGGCAGCACCGTCCTGGCCATCAAGCTCGACTTGGTCGCCATTAGCACCGACGGCTGTGAATGTGCTGAATCCCTGAGCAATCATCACCTCAGCTTGTGATAAGCCAGCAGCATCGAAAGGAGTTGTGACTGAGGTTGCCGAGTTGGCATTCTCAGTGGCTGCACCGTCAACAGCGGGATCAACGAGAGGGACAATGCCGCGAAGGGCAGCAGTGGCTGGTAGGCTGGGGTCAGCACAGACGAAAGGTCTGTCAACAGCCGAAGGGTTGAAGTTGGTCTCAGCTGCAACAAGACCAATAGCTGCATCGAGAACTTGCTGGTCAGTTCCCAACTCGGTGATCATCTGATCGGCGATAGTAAGCTGGAGGGTGTTAGTTGATGTGAGTTCAAGACAACTCAATACACCATACCTTGTCACAAGGACTAGCAGCTGCGAGCAAAGCGCTAGGGATGCTACCAGCAATAGTGGCAGCGACACCAGGGTCACCGAATCCAGCATCACCGAGTGCCTGGACGGCAGCAACAGGCTCTTGCTCTTGGCCGAATCGGGCCTCGGCGTAGGCCAGGAGAGCGGCAAGGATGATAGACTTTGAGAAAGCCATGATGAATGTTGTATGGATTAAGTGATAGTGGCAAGTTGGAAGGTTTACAAAGAGTATCAAAGCAACCAACCAGCGGTGCAAAAAGAAGGTATTGAACTTGAAGGAGTGGTCGAAGCGAATGCGTTCACAGAACAGCAGAAAGAAGCAAAGGAGAAGGGAAGGAGAAGAGGCTTGTGTGAGTGATGATGATGATTGAAGGGAAACTCTAACTCTGGATGACAGATCGTCTCACTTATATAGATGTTTCTTTCAACATTATCGAGTAGTTAAATTTGAATAAGCTTGAATCAATGCAACTTGGCAACCAGCCTGAACCTCGTTACGGCGATCATACATGACCTGCTACGATATTGTTTGACGAAACCATATCAGTAAGCGCCGTTTCCAACTTGAGGTTCTCCCCAGGGTTGGCGAGACGCCTGGGATAGGGTTGGCGTCTCGTTGGTTAGTGTTGCTGGTGAAGAATAGAGTCTGGACTATAGGTGCTTAACTGGATAGCCTATAGTTTCCAAGCGTCTTGGCCATGGCCAAGTGACAGGCATGTGTCGCGAAAAGTCTCCTCCGCGATTCCGAGGCATCGCAGGTCTCGGATACGGAAATCCCGAGTCCTCTGGCGCATTAGATAGTATCTATCAGGTAGTAAATAGTTGAATGGGCGGCTGCCATCGAAATTGATTCAAGACTGAGATAGAGCCTCACAAAGTGATTCATTGGTAATTGGTAGAATCGTTGAACTGTTGAATTGTGTTGATGTTGATAAACTCTCAAATGGTAAAAGTACCACCCATAATGTACTGGAGAGTACCGCAACAGAGTTGTCTGGTCAAGCTGTCAAGCTAACATTTTTTTCAGTCATCCAACACAATTCCGGTTGGAAATTGCCTAGTCGATACCATCGTCATGCAAAGACTGCGACCGGCACGGGTGGCTGCCGTGATTTGGGGTTTCGGTTGAGGCTCGCTTGAGCATCCTTGTAAATAGTTCAGCCAAATGTGTTGTAGATGTGAAACGCTGCCGAAACCACCCACGCCGTTCAACTTTGTTCACCAGAAACAACACGTGCGAGGCCCCAGAAATGTCTGTGCCAAGCGCCGCCAGTCTGGGACGGTGTTTGTGTTTATCGTAAGCTTTGATCATAGCTTTTGAAGCTTAGTTGCTCGATGCATCATGGAGAAGTGGCAACGTAAGACCAACGAGCCTACATTGAAGGATCAGCAAGATACGAAATCATTATTCAAGCGTCGCTTTGTTCTCTTCTGGCCAAATCAAAAATTCCTCGATTGACCATGGGCTGCCACTGCCACTGCCACTGAGAGTTGTTGCTGGTGTTTCTGTAGTTGCATACCCTGAGCCAACCACAGACTCATCCCAAGAAGCAAAGTCAAAGTCTTCTTGGCCCAGAGTTTCGAAGTCCAGTTTGTCTATCCAACTTGTTTCTCCATTTTCCAGCAAGCTCTGGACACCTTGACCTTGTCTTTGTTTTCTCAGATACTCTGTTGGTGTCACACCAACACATTTCTTAAACACTCGATGAAAGTGCCACTTAGACAACCCGGTCTGCCTCGCCATCTGACTGAGGCTCAGCCTGACTTCCGCATCGCCCTGTTTCTCTGTTTGTTGTTGTACAAACGCCCGGATCTTTCGCACAGCTGTTTCCTCTGGCATGAACCCTGCTACTTCGGGCTTACAGCGTTTGCAAGGGCGGAAACCAGCTTTCTGGGCATCGTAGCCATTGGTGAAGAATGAGACGTTTGCTCGGCGGGGAAGACGGGCTTTACATATTGGTCGACAGAATATCTTGGTAGTGCGAACTGCATAGACGAAGAAGCCATCCGCATTGGTGTTGCGTGAAGTGACTGCATCCCATCGAGATATTTCGTCTTCAAATAGTGTTACAAAGCTCAAGGCCTGACTAAAATCAAGAGCTGATGGCTCCATTGAGAGGTTTGCTGGATGCATGAAAAAGTTGATGAATAAGTTGACGTTGAATCATTGATGGTGATCTAGGGTGGCGGAGGAAGTGATGGGGCGTAATTAGTGGGGTATTGCTATCAATATGACCAATGAACTAACTGGAAAGCACGGCAGATGGTATGGTATAATAATTGAAGCTTCGAATAGAGTACTCACGGAGAAGATTGGCATCGTTCTATCCGCTCTTGACACTTCGTTAAGCAGTAATATTGAAGTTGCTGGATTAGATATATTAATGCAGATGGGTTTGTTTTACTATTTCGTTGTACCGCTCTTACTTTTGTCAACCTCTAACTTTAGAAGAAACACAAAACACTGGAGAACAGAATTCATCATGGCTCTCGCATATACCATATCCTTGGCCTAAGTTTGGAATAACTAGATACCTCAAATCCAAAATACTATCCAAGCCCTTATCCCTGTGATGATGAACGCAAGCTGATGTGTATGTCTAATTAGGTTCTCTCTGCTGGAATAAGCTCACAGCCGTGTATGTCTAATACTTGGAACAAGTAGGCCGGGGTTGAGCTTCGACCTTCAAAGAACGACATGACAGTCTATCTCGAGTTAAAGGGGGGTTGATCCTCAGTTCAGCTCATACTTAGTATATTAATAGTGGTTCTACAAGAGTAAATTGATATATTAATGTATTGACTACAGTAGATGATCACTGGTGTTCGACAGCAATACCATCTCCAGCTTGAGCGATGAAGCTTGGTAGATTTGGTAACAGACACAATGGAGTAATGCTTTGATAGATGCTAAAACTTCATCAGAATGAAGAGACTCAACTTGGAGAATGATATGAAAGCATGATATGGTGATCAAGACACTGTTTCATGAGACAGCTTGTCGCTTATTCAACAGACAATGGATTCGATCTCGCCCGCTTGCGACTTGAACTCTACACACGAATCCTCATCACTCAACGGTATTAGGAACCACGTAATTTTAAGGCGCAATAAATCGGCAAAGGATGAAGGCGTGAGAACCAAGGAGAACAAAGCACCGACAGACTTAATAAAAGATAGACCATTTCAGAGAGCTGAACCGCCTCTGTGGCCCGAAAACGAGAATCTGACACTACGGATGTCTAAATTGAGGATACTGAGTTAACAGAACCAGTTACAAACGATGTATAGATTATGTCGATGAATTCCCAGGATAGAAAGAATCACCAGCTACAAGAAAACGTGGAGAAGGGCTCGATCGAGACATTCGATTCTTCAACCAGGATGCATTATTTGTTACCTCTCAAAGGATTTAAACTATGGCCTCTGGATAAACTCACACAATTTTGCTGATTCGATAGATACTGCAAGTTTCTGGGTTGGCACCGTTCTGTGCCAGAAGAGATCACGAAGAAGGATATGTCGAAATCGGCAGATACAGTGTACGACTCGTAAGGGGAAACGAACGATGGTCTCAAGAGGACATAATCGGGCAAAAGGTATTTAACTGACCACACAATGTCGGTGACTTACCTACGAAACAGAAACCGAACCAGCATATGGTGGTAACTTCAGTCATCCAAAGTATTACAAGTTGCGCGCAAGCTCGAGAGTATGGGAGCGAAACGTTCTCCCATCAAATTTGCGAGTCTTCAAGCTCGAGAAGCGGCAAGTTATAGGAGCTTTCAAGACTGCCCAGGGGCGGCCAAGCCCTCTACGAGATCATGAACCAACGCGCGTATAATTGTTTGTAGATATGGATATGTAACTTGATCATCGAGTCGTCCTGAGACTCGTCAATGATCTGAGTATTCGGGGAGCAGCCAGAGATGTGTAAGGTATAGTTTAGTGAGGACTCGGCCTCTATCATGTGGTAATTTCAGGCCATCTTTGTGCCCTATAAGTCGATATTTAGTGAAGCAGCAATGTAATTTAGTTGCATACGGATGACAAGTGCAATCAGCGACTGTAAAAGAGAGGGCTTCATCATATCAACATCTACAGACAGCTGCTAACAGCAGGGGCTAATCCAGATACAACAACGCTGACAGAAGAGAGAGCTTCCTTGGCGAGGTCAGAGGGCTCACGAGACAATTGATCCATTTAACAAGGCCGGCTCTGTGGTTTATATGCTTACCTGCTTCCAAGATATCTTCCATTTCGTCTGGAATGGAGGCCTGCAGTTTTGCGACCATGTCATAGCTCATCTTATCAACAGACGTAGGCTATTCCATCATCGCTTTCATAATCGCCATGACTTCGAAAAGCCATAGAAAGGAAAAGAAGACGAACAGCCATACTCAGGTGACAAACACTGGCCACCTGCAGAGTATAAAAGCCGATAGACCTATCGTGGCTCGGACGTCATTCGCTGCCGGGTTTCAAATATCAAAATCTCAGATAAAGGTGATGAAGAGGAGCCTTGTTATGATTACCAGCAAACGATGTATCTTCATTCTTTGAGCCAGCTCAACTCATACCTAGGATAGACAGTTCAAGACTGCATATTTGAGAAGGAGAAATTGAACATCCGGGTTCTCCAACTCAGAACATAGCATTAGGAAATGGCTGCTTGACTGCCGTGGACTAGTAGAAGTTTGGGCTATTGCTTGCCTCAACGGAAGCTTCTATCTCATTCTTAGAACGGCCACCCAAGTTGAAGAAATCGCTGTTTGTGAGGTGACTATAGTGACAAGTAAAGCTAAACCCATAAAGCCAGCAAATAGCAATTATCAGCGTAGTCTTGCATGGCCAACTGCAAGTTTGCTCAAAAGTGGTCAGCTGATAGATTGCGGAGTGAACGACTCCGACTCATATCGATTCTTGTAGAAACATGTCATGACCAACAAGCGATCTGTCGCTTATTTTGGGAGCCCAGATATGCGCATGTGGAGTGTTACTCCGCAAGATTGCAGCTTTATGTCCGACTCGTTCGAGTTGTAGTCGGCAGATGAAACATAGATCAGATCACAGGGTGTTTACTGTTATAGAGTAGGTAGTCATTAGACGCAATCGCTGGGTTGTGAGAATATCGGTTGTAGAGCACCTTTTATCAGGTGATTGCGATAATAGTGCTACAGGGAGCAAGAAAACCTCCGACCTGTACATAATGTATCAAGAATAATGAGTTTAAGTGCCTGCCAAGTGTACTAGAATTAGGTGAGTCTTGATAAATTTGCTCACATCGTTTTGTGCTTAGGATATAGAACCCAAGTTTCTTGACTCCCCGAAGGAGGGTTGGAGGGGTATGTAAGATAACTTGAAACAATACCCATCGATCCGTCTCGTGTTGAAAAGACGGTGGAGGACTTCGACAGTGGATCGAGATGTCGATGTTCCAAGTGGTGTAAATAAGCTAACGCGGGCTGCATGTGCATAGAACACTAACGTACGTGAATGGCTGCATCGACGTTCCAAGAAGCTCTCCTGTTCGTCACCAGTGAGCGAGTGATGTATCATGCAGCTCGCTACTGAAGTTACTGACTCAAACTGGCAATCTCTGAACACAAGTGAGTGACAAGGGCAGAGTTGGAGAGAGTCAAATCATCCATCTCAATTGCAGCCCGTGCTTCTGTACCGAGGTTGCATGAGTCCACTGCATGAATTGGCCAATCGATTCTGAGGAAATCATCATCAGCCCAAAGATGCTGGTTCTGAAGCAGCCAGGCTCCATAGCGGGGGATAAGTCAAGCAATGAGCGACCTGACAAGGGCCTTGCACTGGCATTGATTTCACTGGGTACCTAGTTACCCAAGGAGTCTAAGTTTAACAGCTTGCTTGACTTGCAGAAGCGTACATAGTGCGCATCTATCTATAAAATCACACGATAATGACATCTTGAGGGTATAAAATTTGGTGACTGTTTGATTTTCTGGCTTTTCGCTTCCCTAGCCAATGCGAAAAACTAGGGTTTTACGGGAGCGAGTCGCCACTAGGAAAAGGGGTAAACTCGGGTATTGATCCAAGAGAGATCTACGGTGCAGTCTGACGGTCCTCGCCTCAGATTAGGTAGGGTGCTAGCTATGGACTAGCCAAGCTAAAAGCTTAAGGAACCTTGGCTGTCAATAAGAAAGAACAAGATAAGTCAAGAGAGGGGCAAGACTGCATAAATTATACCAGAATGGCCTGTTCTCATTGGTTTATTCTCCGTCTCAACGAAATGGAAAGCTTTGAGCAACGGTGGCTGGCTGGACCCCTTGGTCCCCTTCCGTCCCCTGGAGCTAGGGCCATCTAGAATCTCGAAATTTCCTTGGAATGAGTGAGGCCTGGACGGGCCAAACAGGCGACAGGACAGTGGTAACTTGGGTACGTCCCTGTATATAATTAACATTTGTTTGTTTCTACTGGTGGAGGGTGACATCCATCCACCTTATTCTTATTCGGAACGGAACTGCTCAAGTTAAATGGATATGGATGTTATGTTCTGGCTGATGCAGGGATGAGAAGAGGAACAAGCGCCGGCTGCAGTGAATGATGTGCTGAAATATTGTTGATCAAAAGGAGAACCAAGCCCGGTGATTGATTCATGGAGCTGGAGGATATTGTTCTCATGTCACTGCGAGGCAATAATACAACACTTCTCATGGCTCTGCTGAACTCTTGTTTATCCAATTGAGGTCAATTGAATCTTTTTTTTTTGGTCCTATTCTGCTCTACAAAATGTTGTTTTTTAGTTTTTGAACCGCAATGCCTCCTCTATCAAACAATCTCAGATCAGATCCAGTGCCAATGCAGTCCAGCTGCATCTCTTGCTCACCGCTTTCACAGGTGGGGTTCTCATGTTCTCCCTCCCTCAACAGCTCTGCAGCAGGTGGGTACGTACAGTGAAGGTGGACACCCTGGCACTGACACTGGCACTGGAGCTGGAACTGGCCTGCCTACTCCCCGTAAATACCCCCGCTATCATGGATGGTAGTGCAGTGCGCTACCTAGCCTACCCCCTACGAGCCTCTCCTCTCCTCTCCTCTTAGCCTGGGCAGTTCTCAAGTTAATTCTCGGGGGGTTCAAAATTCA